CTTAGGTTCGTGTTTCCGAGACCCGAAACGGCTGACTTCAAGGCCGGTTCAGATTCAGAGTCCTGGCGGTGCTGTTCCGGCGTTGCCCCGGTGCTGATTAAGTGCCGGCCTTGGCCACCACGGTGCCAATGTCTTTAACTGTACCTCAAAGACGGATGATCACGCTGTGTGGCCTGTGTTCGCTCCTGGCTCGCGTGTTGACCGCGCCTGCTCGACGGTGGAACCCCGCTGTCAGGCGGTAGCAAGTGTTGTCATAGCGGTGTCAGGCGGTGCTAGGACGGTGTAAGGCGGTGTCAGACGGTATGAGGCGGTGTCAGGTGGCGTCGGCGGTGCCGGTAGTGTCGAGAGCTTCGCGTGGCCGGCACTGTGTCGGCGCCCCTCCGAGCCCGCGGTCCGCGGTAAGCAGGCCGCTCCGGCTGCGTCAGCTGGAGCGCCCGCCGACTGCTGTCTGGTCCGATCCGGCCGAAAAACGTAACATCCGGCCAGCGGTCACGGCTGAATAGCTCAGAGTTTCGATTTGAAGTAGCCGCTCCTGCTGGATAAATCTTATTGTACGCCCTACCACCACAATGAAAGTAATACATTTCGTTTGCCGTGCTTTTTCCGATGTATGTCTTCTGTTATGTCTGCAACACGCTAATTTATTAAAAATGTTATGTAGTGAATGCTACGAGGACTTTAACCACACTGTTTAGGCAAAAAGATGCGCGGGCATGGATATTTTTCCGGCGAATTTAACGAAACGCTATACTCTGGGTTTTCTCTCTCCCTTATGGCGTTTACCTCAGTTACTCTTTTTTAGTTTTTTTTAGGCGCACTTGGTTTTGGGAGAGGGAGTATCACATGCTGTTGTGGCGCACTGGTTTAAACTTAAAGCAATGCACTTCTCGGTGACAGACCCTTGCCGCCTGCTGGGCCAATCACAAGCGTTCTTTAAGTTGCACCCGGCGGTTGTCATGGCGACGGCGATTTCGACAACTGCAGAGAAAAAGCATAGTGCTGCTACAAAGCGTTGGCAGCGTAATTTGGACTCGATCATAATTGAAGTTGGTATGCATATCATGTCTTGACGGTGCTGCAGCCACACTACCCAGTAATTTACTTAGACGTTGGTCCTGAGGCTTCACGAGATGATATTTATGAAATGTGCTTCAAATGTGGGACACTCCTTCAAGCAGCCAGACTCGTCCAGGATCACTTGCAAGCTGGCAGATTGACTCACATTCATGAGGAGAGACCGTCCGCTGCCTCATCACAATCCAGTCGCCGCCGCGCCGCGTGACCACCGGTCAGCCTTTATCAGCGGCGAGATAGGCCTGGCGCGGGGCCGATACCACCGGACCCACACCGGCCGGTCATGGTGAGCGTGCAGGTGCGACGGGTACGCCGCCGCCCGCCCCTCCCCTCCCCGTCCCCGCGCCGTGGCTCGAGGGCCGGGGAGTACTGTGGAGTGGCGCCGGCGGCTGCGGATGGGGCTGGAACAGCGGCAGTGCAACCGCTGCAGGCAGGGGGATGGGGCAGGGTATGTAGTGCGTACGAAGCGGTTAGGTCGACGAGACGTGCTAGCGTTAGGTGAAGTAAGAGGCTAGGTAGTAGTGCAACGAATTTGTATCTCTTCACCGCCCATGCTACGCTATATGTGAATTCAGCTATTGCGCGCTAGGCTTTCCGAAATATTAAAGCCAATCGTTGGCGATTTTTTTTTAGAGGGGGTGGGGGGGGCATCTGCGTCCCCCCCTACCATAGACCGGTCCTTGCGCCGGTGGCGGCCTGCCGTGACCTTGAATGACGCCCGGCGGCGCGGGGGCTGCCAGCTCGCACAGCATGGCGCCGCCGCCGCTGGCAGCGGGCACGCCCGCCGGCGGCGCCAGTCGGCTGCCGCCGCCGAGTGCGAGGGTACGGCAGGACGGTGCTGTGGAGCCCGGCTGAGAGGGCGGCCGGGCTTGACGGACCCGCCGAGGGCGAAGCGAAGTGACGATGGTGCGGCACGTGAGCAGCGTGAAGCGCGTGGGAGCCGGCTTGTGAGTCGCTCGCACAGAGGGACCGTTTGACGCACGTCGTGGTGGCCGGTCGGTGATACGTGGGCCACGTGACGCACATCTGCGCCATGTATCACTGTCGCCAGTTAATTTTGTGTGTCATATGTACGGGGTGTTGGCGAAAAGTTATCGCGCACGTGCCCGCATACGAATGCTGATTGGAACAGACCCCATTCCAACTTCGTGGTTTGTTTGACATTTGCAAGTATTACCCGAGTGAGAGTCAACCCCTTTCAAGACGATCGCCGGCTTCACTGCCCGCCGCGTCAGCCCCACCAACGCCATCACGTCTGCGGCGGTTGGCTGAGCCGGCCACGGAGCTGGGCACGCACCCTCCGGAGTGCCGCCCGATGGGCCGTCTGTCTTACAACCCGCCGGCGAAACTGCTGGCTGGGCTTTGCAGCTCGCTCGTCTGCCAGAGCTGGGAGCGTGCAGGCCGTCACCTGGAGGCTTCCGCCTGCATCGCGCTTGTAACGCTAGCTGGTGTGGGAAATACGACCTTAATGCCGGGGGTTTTGCTTGCGGTGCGTTACTGGCCTGTTGGAACGTGAGTGCATCGACACCATTTGCTCTGGTGCTGGATAGGGAGGGGAGGGAGGAGAGCGATAAAGCCTGTCTAAAATGCGTTTGGCCTATAAGACGACGCCTGTGTCATTTCAGAACACTGCCTGCTCAGAAATCGTGTACCAGCGTGGCGAACGGCCATGGCGCTCCGTCGTGGGCTCAGCTGGCAAGTTTGCCGCTGTCATGTCGACAGATGAGCACGGCGGCCGGCGCCCCGGCGCGGCGCTCTGTCGGCAGACTCCTCAAGTACAGGCTTGGCTGGAGCGGCGGTAGGGTGGCGTGGGTAGTCCCGGGCGTCTACTTACGCCACCCTGGACGACATCGGGCGCCGCCAGTTCAGAGTCACGTACGAGGGCATCGGGCGCTTCGTTCGGTAGGATCGGCTGCCGACGCGAGTTCGCCTGGCTCTTCCCTACGCAGTACAACGGCGTTTACCCAAAATACGGGCGGGGATGAATGGTTATGGAAACTGGCCCCACGGCTGTTCGTTTTCGAAGCTGCGGGCCGGTTTTTTATTCAGTGTTTCACAGCATCGAGGCGAAAAGACGGCAGTGCGGGGTGTTGCGCGTGCATGTGATTCCGCCATGTGAGTCACCTGTGAGTACGCCGTGCTGTCTCGCAGACACGGAGCCGCCTTCCGCCTCGGGTTTAAACCTGTGGGAGTGTGCAGACCCCCGCGCTTGGCTCTGGGTGCAAGGCACAATATTCCCCGCCATGGTTGTAGCAGGAAAGCCGTTACCGTCCAGTAAGCGGGTGATTAATTCTCGTGACCTCATGCTCCATTTACAGTTGCATATGACGCCCCTCAGCGATCGCGTCACGTGCTTTCCTGGGTGCTGCCACCGCGTACTCCGCCCGTGGTTCGTGGTCGTTTGCACGTGATGATCGTGGGTCGCACGTGATGATCGTGGCGTCTCACGCGAGTGATCATAACGCCACAACGTGATGATCGCTGCGTCTCACGCGAGTGATCATAACGTCCTAACGCGGTGATCAAACGTCACACTGAAGATCGTAACGTTACACGCGATGATCGTAACGTCAGATGGTGAACGTCACACGTGACGGCAGGTCGGTGGTGGACGGGCCGCCACCATCTCGCTCGACTACTGGTGGTCGACACGCGGCATGGACGACACGTGCGAGGAGTACGAGAAAGCCATGTCGGGCTGCCACCAGCTGTCGGCCCAGCGCATTCTCGTCGGCTGCCTCAAGAACGGCGGCCTCTACGTCAAGCTTGGCCAAGGTCTGGTGTCCATGAACCACATCCTGCCCAAGGAGTACCTCAACACGCTTAAGGTGGGTGGCGGGGCTCCGTGGAGGCGGGCCGGACCAGCTGCCACCGTCCGCCGACCATGTCATATTCATGCGAAGGAAGTAGCGGGATAGCGGGCGGTTGTAGTCTACTTGAAACATTGCCTTGTGTTTTGTGCTCAAGCAGTACACTTTGTAGCGGAGTCCTTTTACGATGATCAGCCGCGCGTCTTCCGCGCAAAGACGGGCGTGCGCAGCGGCGCCAGGGGCGTTGTACGCGCCATCCGCGCGTCCGCGTGCAGACCAAGGTCTGCGGGACGGCGTGGTCCCAGGGAGTCAGCCAAGAGCCCGTTGTCCTGGCCGTGCTGCAGGTGCTGCAGGACAAGTGCCTGAACCGACGGGCCGATGAGGTGGGCCAGCTGTTCATGGAGGACTTCGGCCGCTCGCACCTGGACCTGTTCGCTGAGTTCGACCCGGAGCCCGTGGCGGCCGCCAGCCTGGCGCAGGTGTTCAAGGCCAAGACTCACAGTGGCGAGCAGGTGAGAGTGGGCGGTGGCCGCCGGCGAACAGCCACAGATGCTGCATGATGCTCGTCCAGCCAACAGCCGGACGAGAACTTGCCGCAGCTTGGAAGACCTGGTGAACGATGAGCGGACAAACGATGGCGCGTGGTGACATGCTTTACCGGTTTGCCTGAGAGGTTGGCGTCCAGTATGGGCAGCGGACAACACACGGTATTCGCTGCACGTGGCGAACACGATATCGTCCGCACTGTCGGCACGTTACCCTCCTCCAATCTCTGCCCCGAGGCGATCATCTGAGATGTGGGGTCGTGCTGTCGCCTGCCGCGCCCTCTGACAGCTGTTGTATGATGGTAGGGACAGTCGACAGTGTCACACGCAGGTACTGTTGTGTGACGGTTGGGACAGTCGACAGTGTCACACGCAGGTACCGTTGTGTGACGGTTGGGACAGTCGACAGTGTCACACGCAGGTACTGTTGTGTGACGGTTGGGACAGTCGACAGTGTCACACGCAGGTATTGTTGTGTGACGGTTGGGATAGTCGGCAGTGTCACACGCAGGTTTCATGGTTTGCGTATTTGATCACATCTTGCTTTAATCCTCCGTGTCCTTTAGCAGTCTTTTTCCTCATCTCCTGCCACGCACGTAAGCGCGCACGCACATCAAGCCTCAATGTTTTTTTTCCGGAGATGACTGCTGACTGACCTCCCTGTCCTCTCCCTCGCTTCCACGATGCTATCCCTGCGCAATGGCCTTTTGCACAACGTACTGCATTGAACGGCATGCTAACCCAATGCCGCCGGCAGTGGTCCGTGGCGTTCGCTGCGCTGTCACGCGTCTGTAGAGCTGGCATAAGGCCAGCAAGCACTGGGTGACCCATGGTGTAGGCGTGTGACGCGGTCAGCGAATGTGGCTCAGGAGGTACCGATCCGGTCACGACAGGCCCCGCCCCGTCCCGCCGGCAGGTGGCGGTGAAGGTGCAGTACATCGACCTGCAGGACCGCTTTCACGGCGACATCAGCACCATCGAGCTGTTGCTGGAGCTCATCTCCTGGATGCACCCCAAGTTCACGCTCAAATGGGTGATGAAGGACCTGAAGAAGACGCTCGCCGAAGAGCTGGATTTCGTGAACGAAGCAAGGAACGCTGAGCGCTGCGCCAAGGACCTGGCCCACTTCAGCTTCGTGCACGTGCCCACAGTCCACTGGGAGAAGACGTCGCTGGTCAGTCCCCGGCGGCAGGGGCGCGAGGGGTGCGGTTCGCGGCTCCGCTGATTCTGCGGGGGGGGGGGGGGCGTCTGAGGCAGGATTAATTGAAGCTATGTTCTTTGCATGCTGCAGTGGCGCGAACCTTCTTTCGTAATGTTGACATGCATTGTGCTATGAATGTTACCGGCAGTCGCCTTTTTAAGGCTGCGTCCTCGCGTGCGCGCAGGTTTTTAGCCTTTACCGACTGGCATGCATGCTGTTGACAGGACGCCAGTTTGATAGCGATGTTTTGATTGGCACTGGGCATGGGGCACGCGACGCTGTCACATCGCTGCTACAATGTTGCCATGATTGATGGTGCGGTCGCGAACGGGCTGTTCTGTCGGGCGGATCACGCAGCGGTGCGGGCGCCAGACGCCTGCGCAGTCTGTTTCGGAGGGCGGATCACGCAGCGTTGCGGGCGCCAGACGCCTGTGCAGTCTGCGTCGGACAGCGGATCACGCAGCGTTGCGGGCGCCAGACGCCTGTGCAGTCTGCGTCGGACAGCGGATCACGCAGCGGTGCGGGCGCCAGACGCCTGTGCAGTCTGCGCCGGATAGCGGAACGCTTACATAGTTGGAGGGGACTTGAATTATCAGCTCCCTGTCCGACAGCATGTGCTAGCTGGCCATTCGGCCTTCGGCGGTGGGTCTTGACTGGGCCCTTCCCTCTTTGCTCATCACCTGGCGTGGCTGGCCGCTCTCCCCCCTCCCCCGTGATTCCTTGACTCTGCCCTCTGTGCTCATCAACGGATATTGGCTGGCCGCTCTTTTCCACCAGCGACTCATGACAGTCTACTTTGGTAATGCTAATGCTAATGCAGCTAATGTCGGCCGTCCGTTTTGTTTCCCCCCCCCCCCCCCCTTAAGACTGCTCTTGACGCTCTTGAATTTTTACTCGACTCGTCACTTTGCGCTCATCAGCGGGTGTCAGCTGAGCATCCTGTTTCCTTCCGGTGACTCCTCTTGACTCTCCTTCTGCACATATCAGCGGCTGTCCGCTGTGTTTCCCTCACTGACTGTTGACTCTCCGCTGTTGTTGACTCTCCGCTGTGCGTCCGCCAGAGGGTGCTGACGGCCGAGTACATCGACGGCGTCAAAATCAGTGACCGCGAGGGCATCGAGGCGCTGGGCCTGGACATCGCCGACGTCGACACGAAGCTGATTCGCTCGTTCGCCGAGCAGATCTTCCACTCGGGCTTCGTGCACGCCGACCCCCACCCGGGCAACAGTGAGTGGGGGCCGCGCTCGCGCGCTCGGGCGGGCGCGCGGCGCTGGTGTCGTGTGCCCCTCACTCGTCAGCGTGCGCAGTCACGCTCGCGGGCTTGGACTGTTGGCTGGATGCTTCGTTCCAGTGGGTGGGTCTGATGTGGGACAGTCGTATTGATGCGACGGTGATGCGCTGTGGCGGAACGAGCCATGTCACGCTGAAACACGCCGGTCGTCGCTCTCGCAGTGTGTTGCTCTCACTGTCGGATGTGTGACTGGTGGTATGCCATGTGGCCGACCGTCTCCTCCGACCATTGTGGTGTGTCATGTGGCCGACCGTCTCCTCCAACCGTGTTGTATGCCATGTGGCTGACCGTCTCCTCCAACCGTGTTGTATGCCATGTGGCCGACCGTCTCCTCCAACCGTGTGGTGCGTCATGTGGCCGACCGTCTCCTCCAACCTTGTGGCATGTCATGTGGCCGACCGTCTCCTCCAACCTTGTGGTATGCCATGTGGCCGACCGTCTCCTCCAACCGTGTTGTATGCCATGTGGCCGACCGTCTCCTCCAACCGTGTTGTATGCCATGTGGCCGACCGTCTCCTCCAACCGTGTGGTGTGTCATGTAGCCAACCGTCTCCTCCAACCTTCTGGCGTGTCATGTGGCCGACCGTCTCCTCCAACCTTGTGGTATGACATGTGGCCGACCGTCTCCTCCAACCGTGTGGTATGTCATGTGGCCGACCGTCTCCTCCAACCTTGTGGTATGTCATATGGCCGACCATCTCCTCCAACCTTTTGACTGATGATGCTCGCCATGTGACTGATGACATGCGCCGCGGGGCGAATGGCTTCTGCGCTTTGCGACAAATAACCCCCGTTGCCCTACATACAGGTCACGTCCAACTGTTGCGACTCAACATGTTTCACTGTGTGATGTATGCCTTCTGTTGCATTGTCTATTGCGTCTGTTTTGGTTGGTACCCTCAGCTGTGTGACTCATGCCGTGCATCCGACCGCCGACGGCCGACCGACCGATGTTTGACCCCCGCCTCCGCCGCGTCCAGTCCTGTCGCGGTGCGACCGGGACGGCTCCGACCGCCGACGGCCGACCGACCGATGTTTGACCCCGCCTCCGCCGCCTCCAGTTCTGGTGCGGCGCGACCGGGACGGCCGGGCGGAACTGGTGCTGCTGGACCACGGGCTCTACCAGCGGCTCTCCGACAACGTACGCACATCGCTCGCCAACCTGTGGAAGGCCATCGTGCTCAACGACCACCCGAACATGGCGCGCTTCGCTAAACAGCTGGGCGTGTCAGGTGAGCGGCCGGCCGCGCGGCTCGCGGTACCAACACGAGACTTTGGTGTTGCAAAAGGAGACTCCCGCTGTGACGTCAGTGGGACGCAGCCGCGAAGCAGTGTTTCTAAACTAACCGAAACGGCGACGCCCGTTCACGGTGAGGTGGGGGTTAACTTTGTATAAGGGCATCATATTCCAAATTTGCTTTGCATTCTTTTGGCGTATATTTGCCGGTTTTTTACGCGTGGTGTGATGGTTTGCGTTTTAAAATGATCTAAGCATGTCAGCGACCATGTTGTATCTCTCTTAAAGTATTCGGGTGCTGAATGCAGTCATGCCATTGGCTTTCTCGCAGATAATGAGTGTTATGTATGCTTACCACTTTTCCACCTGAATGACAGCATATTAACTCATTGTTCGCAAACTAGGGATTCACTGTCGTGTTGTAATGACGGCATTTAGACCTATGTATGACCGCGGGTAGCCTGTCGACTGCGTGAGGGTGGAGGGCCTTCTGTAGCTAGAAGCCGCTGTATGTGAGAGAGACTCCGTCGTTGGAGTTGAAGGGTCGCTGCCCTGGCCATGTTGCCGGAGCCGGTGGCCTGGACCGCAGTAGACTGGGCTCTCTGTCAGAGCATGGTACCGAGAGGAGCGATGTCGCGTGTCCTTGGGCTAGCAGGCTCCGCGTAAGATCTGGGCAACTGGGGACACCAAACGCGTGCAGCTCGGTGAGGAGGGGCTGAGTGAGGGACTCAGTATGTGCGCTGTAGTCTGCAATGACTGGGCGGTCGTCACTTTGTTATGATCGCTCGGTTTATGGTGCGTCAGTCATGGGAGGTCGGCGGGATTATAAGGAGGAAGATGCCTGCGCCGAGCATAAGTCATCTCAAGATATTTTGCTGTCTATGACATGCCACTCCTGTCGTTTTCGAAGTAAGAAACGGGACGGGTGTGCATCTGCATCGAGAGGACAGGGGTAGACGAAGACCTCACCTCCAAACTGGGTACAGGGGTAGACGGAGACCTCACCTCCAAACAGGGTACAGGGGCAGACGGAGATCTCACCTCCAAACAGGGTACAGGGGTAGACGGAGACCTCACCTCCAAACAGGGTACAGGGGCAGACCGAGAGCTCACCTCCAAACTGGGTACAGGGGAAGACGGAGACCTCACCTCCAAACTGGGTACAGGGGCAGACGGAGATCTCACCTCCAAACTGGGTACAGGGGCAGACGGAGACCCTCACCTCCAAACTGGCTACAGGGGCAGACGGAGATCTCACCTCCAAACAGGGTACAGGGGGCAGACGGAGACCTCACCTCCGAACAAGGGACAGGAACAGACGGAGATCTCACCTCCAAACAGGGTACAGGGGCAGACGGAGACCTCACCTCCGAACAAGGGACAGGAACAGACGGAGATCTCACCTCCAAACAGGGTACAGGGGCAGACGGAGACCTCACCTCCGAACAAGGGACAGGAACAGACGGAGATCTTCACCTCCAAACAGGGCACAGGGGTAGACGGAGACCTCACCTCCAAACAGGGGACAGGAACAGACGGAGAGCTCACCTCCAAACGGGGGCCAGGGGAAGACGGAGACCTCATCTCCAAACAGAGGACAGGGGCAGACGGAGACCTCACCGCCAAACAGAGGACAGGAGCTGACGGAGACCTCACCTCCAAACAAGGGACAGGAACAGACGGAGACCTCACCTCCAAACTGGGTACAGGGGCAGACGGAGACCTCACCTCCAAACAGGGGACAGGGGCAGACGGAGACCTCACCTCCAAACTGGGTACAGGGGCAGACAGAGACCTCACCTCCAAACAAGGGACAGGAACAGACGGAGACCCCACCTCCAAACAGGGGACAGGGGCAAGCAGAGACCTCACCTCCAAACAGGGGACAGGAGCAGACGGAGACCTCACCTCCAAACAGGGGACAGGAGCAGACGGAGACCTCACCTCCAAACAGCAGTATGCATGTGATGGCGTCTGCCGCAGGGTAGAGACTGGGTTCCGTTGTGTCTGAGATCATTCACGACCGGTGGTTATATCGAATATGAGCGGACGGATCGTGCAAGAAGATCATGCCGATTACGTCACTTTGATATCATAACATCAGCCTGAGCGTGGTCACACCGACCGTGTGAGGTCGCTAATCACGATCCACCACGATCATTAGTCACGTGGTGTCCGTTGGATGGTGATCAGGGCGATCACGTGACATCCCGTGCGAGTGAGACGCCTGCTGGGCCGTGACCGTGACGTGACGCCGTGACGGGGCGGCTCGGACTGGACCAGGCCGGGCGGAGTCCAGACCGGCCGCCCGCACCGCCGGGGCGGCAGCTGGACGGTGAGTGTGCCCCTGTCTGCAGACGAGTACCGCTTCTTCTGCATGTTCGTGGCGCAGAAGTACGTCGCGCCGCCGGCCGGCTCCAAACAGGAGAATGAGTTCCTCGGCAAGCGCGGCCCGAAGGCTTTTGACCGCAACGCCTGGAAGACCATGTCCAAAGAAGACCGGGCCGCCATGCAGAAGCGCTGGGAGAACGCCCGCGAACGCATGCGCGAAGCCTTCAACAACATCCCCAATGAGATATTTTTGGTGTTGAGGTACGCTGGGCACATACCTAGTCTCCGGGGGGGGGGGGGGGGGGGTAGGTAATTGTTCACAGGGAGGAAGTCCCGTGCACGGCGTCCGTTCGTGGACAGACCTGGGACATATTGCCCATGGGGAAGCCCCTGACTCGGTACCAGGTTACAGGTAGGCCCGGCACACCACAGACGGAGCATAGGCGTCCCTCGCCTGCGCAGCGGGCGCCCGGTGGGGCGGGCCCACTCTCCATCCCTCCCTTTGACCCAGCAGCGCCCGCGCCTGCCCCCAGACTACCGTCTGCTGGCGATCGCACTGACCCAGCGGCTGGTGCCGGCGCCGCCGGGCGCGACGGCCAGCGGCGACTTCTTCGCGCTGTTCTGGGACGCACGCGGCCCGCGCCTGCCGCCCAGCCCGCTCACCCCCGAGCTGACGGCGTGGGTCACCGACCTGCACTTCCGCGTCTGGGACACGGTCCGCGCGCTGCCGCCCTCGCTGGCGCTGATCATGCGGTCAGTGGAGCCGACGGCCGTCCTCGCACGCTGCAGTCTGCAGTCTGTCGCACAGGCCGCGGTCTGTCCCGCGGACTGCAGTCTCGCCGAGAGACTGCGGTCCGCCGCGTGAGAGTCGTGCGCGAGAATCGGTGACGCTGCGGTCCGTCTCTTGCAGACTACTGTCTGCTGTGTGAAATGCTGCTGCAGCGGCCGCTGCCGCGGCGGGCGGCGGGCGCGGCGCTGCACGCGCTGCGCCACGCCGCCGCCGGCGATCTCGAGTACATGCGGCGCCAGGCGGCCGAGCGGTTCGATCAGATCTCGGCCGCGCTGCGCCGCCTGCCGCGCTCCGTCCTGCTGGTCATCAGGTGGGTGGCGCGCGCGGCGGCCGGAGCCGGCCGCTGCCGCCGGCCGCCGCCGGGCGGCGTCACCGGCGGCGGCAACAGCGGCGTTACCGGCGGAGGCGGCGCCGGGTCGGGGTCTCGCTAGGCCTCCGGTGAACGCTGGTGAATGCGGATGCTCCGGCGGACCACTGACCGCGTGCGGTGTACAGGACGGCGGCTGGAGCGCCGCACGTCAGGCGGCGGGCGCTGGGCGGCGCCCGGCGGTGTACAGGCCACGGAGACGGATTGGCGACCCAGTGCAGCGTACGGGGCTCTGCGACGGGTCACTGTACTATGTACGGGCCAGGGAGCCGGGCAGCCACCAGCTTCTCTTCTCTCGATGGACTGTGCTTCTTCGGCTTACACTGCACATTCTGATGCACGATAGCTAGGAGAGACGAGTGAGTGGTGTCATGCTCGTCATCCGACGTCACCTCCCATCGGCTGAATCCGTTGGCTTGTCGGCGATCGCTTCGTTGCTTCCACGAATGCCCCTGCTAACAACAGCACGATGCGCTCCAGCCAGCCGGTGAGAGCAGGCTGTCGGCTGCGGCTCACCCCTGCGCAGCTGGCGCCGGCTGTGCAGAAAATCAGGCCGGCGCACGCGGGCTCGCCGTCTGGCATGGGCGCCGCTGGAGCCTCTCGTGACCCACCTCCATTTGGTACAGCATGCCGGGGCTGTGCTCAGCTGGCCGAACCCGACAGCTATCCGGCTGGACTAGGGCCTTTTAATCAAGCACTCGGTGCCCGTGAGCTCTCGAAAATTGGCCTGTCGTCTGAGCTCTCCGCTCCCGCCCGGCGCGGTCTGCCGGTCTGATAATAGCGGTCCGCTTCCGCCCGTGTGCCGCCGTCCGTCCAGCTGGAGCCCCCTATCCACGTGGAGCTAGCCCTCCGCCGTCTGTCCGCTTGGCGCTTGCCGTCCGTCTGGAGCTAGCTTTCCGCCGTCTGTTGTTCTGAAGCCGTCTGCTCGTTTGGAGCCGCGTGACGGCCCGGCGCCACCTGTCCGTCCGCTGGCGTCCGCCGGCGTCCGCCGGCTGTCCGTCCGCCGCCGTCTGCCTTCCGTCCGTCGGACAACCTGCCGGCCGGTCGCCGTCGGACTGCCGACAGCTGCCTGCCAGCCGTCCGTCGCCAGCTGTCCGCCAGCCATCTGCCGTCTGGCGTCGCCTGTCCGCCGCTGGCGCCGCCCGTCTGTGTGCCGTCAGCTGTCTGCCAGCTGTTCGCCGCCCGGCGCCGTTGTCTGCCGCCTGTCGCCGCCTGTCCGCCTGCCGCCTGGCGCCGCCTGTCCGTCTGCCTGCCGTCGCGCACGCGCCGGCTGCTTGGCCGAAGCCGCCTACGGTCCTCCAATGACGCCCTGTGTCATCTGTGCTCTCGCCCACGACACCCACTTACGGCTATAGTTCTGGCAACACCTTTATGCTTTGACCTCATGCTCTGCAATGCTTATATCCCACTGACGTGGAAATTGTATGGTAATTCTGTGAACTGGACTAGTCCGACTCAGTTTCTCCTCGCACTCAGCGCCAATGAAAGCAAAGTATCGCTATTTCCTCGCACTCAGCGCCTTTTCATTACGCTTGCTTGCCACACTGACCTCTGAAACCCGGCTAAGCAAACCGCATGTGTCCAGTCCTAGTATGTCGCTAGCATGTTTGCATGGATGGGCGTGTGGGTGCGGGATTGGCTTGGTCTTGTGTGCGCTGAGAGCCAGGACCCAGATTCTACGGTCATCCACGTCAATTGATGACACTTCAAACAACGTAGCCCCGTGTACTGCTACTTTTCACTTAGACTTGCCCTGGCATTCGAGTAGCCGTAGAAGCCGTGTCCTGCATATTGTCGCTATTGCTGTCACGCGCATGGTGCATGCTCGCTTGTCGAGATTCTACCTTAGTGGTTTGCTGCTTCGAGGAGGGGCTGTCGCGGCGTGTCCCCCGGCCCGCCTCCGCTGGCTCACCGTCCCTGACGCGCTGCTTTGTGCTGCGCTCCCCCTCCCCCCTCCACCCCAACCCCACCCACCCCTCGCCCCACACACGCTGGCTGCTGAGACCGGAGTTATGCCCGGTGGCTGGAGAGACCCAGAGCCCGCGCGTCGTAGCCGCGCACCCCTGCATCCCGCGCTGTGGGCGGAGAGCCTCCACCGCGTCAACCACACTTATCACGAGTGATCGACTCTGCACAATTAAGCAGCCGCTGCTTGTAACTGCCCGGATCTTCTGCTCCTTGCGTCAGTTAATGCAAGCATTCAGTCTGGCTGTTGTGAATGGCCTTTGCACTGACGGCCCCCTCAAATCCATGTGTTCCTCCTTTCCACAGGTCCTTGAGCGCTGTCCTCTCACCGGTCCCACTCATGACCGTCCTGACACATGTTTCTGCACACTCATCCAGTGGACAGGGTTACCCCGCGTCCGTCCAGCGAGGCCGGGTAGTTGGAGTCGCTTCAGCGGGCATAGTTAACAGGGGGGGGGGGGGGGGGGGCAAAGAGGACACGACAGAACTGCACCTGGGAAGTGACCGGTGTTTCCTAGTCAGTGGGTGGGAGCCGGTAATAGAGAGAGGGCCTCTGTAGCCGGGGGTGGGTAGATAGCGCTGCATGAAGTAACAACTACACTGTACTTAGGCGCTTTGCCGTGACAGCTTAAGCTCTGTAAAACAACCGTCCCGAAATGGCTTCAGTTTGCTTTGCAGAGAGGTGCATTACTACGCGAGCAGTACTCGGCTTTTGTGCCTATACACACCTGTATATGCCTGTCGCCTGTAGCGCGCCTGTGGGTCCTACGCTTCCAGGTCCTGGCAACTTTTAACTTGAGGGTATGGAAAATCCTGGACTGTGGACTATGAACGTAACCGAACCGATCCGCGCGCGCTGTGGGGCAGCCCGTGGCCATAGCGTGCCGTGCGGGCAGCGGCCGGCCGTCGCCGCCGCGTGACCCCTGCCCTCCCGGCGCCGGCAGGAACATGAACCTGATCCGCGCCATCACGGCCGAGCATGGCAGCCAGGTGGACCGGTACCGGCTGATGGCTCGCAGCGCCACGCAGGGCGCCTTCCGCGTGGAGGGCGGTGGCCTGCGCTCCCAGCTGGCCGGCTACTGGCAGCGACTCGTCTTCGACTGGCGACTGTTGTGAGTGGCGCGGCCGGCCGGCCGGCCCCACAGCGCCTCCCGTAGGCGCCCCTCTCCCCCCCCCCCCCCCCCCCCCCCCCCCTGCACCTGGCGGTCTTCGTTTCTGTACGGGCATCGCGAGTGTGCCGTTAACGGAATGCTCAACGCGGATTTGGAAAAAACTTATTTTAGTCATTTATCACATTGCGGTATGTCTTCCCAGTCTAATCGTCAATATGACAATAAAGTAGATGCCGTGCACAGTGTGGAGCGGCGGTTCCCTGCACGTCAGCCCTGTTACACGGTACACTGACCGTCGTCTCGTCTGTCACAGCGTGGACTCAGTGAAGCTATGGGCCGTCCGTCACACCTTCCGCCTGCTGGCGCTGCTGGGCAAGGCCCCGCCGGAGATGAGTCGCATGGTGGACCAGCTGTAGTCGTCGGCCATCCGCGTCCCCGTCCCCGTCCACGGCGGCAGCGCGCCGCCGCCGCCCCTCCCTGCGTCACGTAACGGCTGCTCGGCGAGACGGACAGAACCACGTGAAGCTCCGGTGGATGTTCGCCACTCACGCCCTGCGACACCGGTCGCCTGTCTCGTCTGGAGAGGGCAACAGATGGCGGATGGCCGACGCCGGCTTCGGTGCGCAGTCGTCAGCCGGCCGCCGCTCATGCCGCGTGTAGAAGGCAATAGGATGCGTTGTACCTGTACTTGGGGATAGATGACCATTAGCGTCCGAGGTGCTCCTGGCCTTCGTGGGGACGACTGACGCCCGAGGTGCTCCTGGCCTTCGTGGGGACGACTGACGCCCGAGATGCTCCTGGCCTTCGTGGTGACGACTGACCCCCGAGGTGCTCCTGGCCTTCGTGGGGACGACTGACCCCCGAGGTGCTCCTGGCCTTCGTGGTGACGACTGACGCCCGAGGTGCTCCTGGCCTTCGTGGTGACGACTGACCCCCGAGGTGCTCCTGGCCTTCGTGGTGACGACTGACGCCCGAGGTGCTACTGCCTTTCGTGGGGACGACTGACCTCCGAGGTGCTCCTGCCCTTCGTGGGGACGACTGACCCCCGAGGTGCTCCTGGCCTTCGTGGTGACGACTGACGCCCGAGGTGCTCCTGGCCTTCGTGGTGACGATTGACCCCCGAGGTGCTCCTGGCCTTCGTGGTGACAACTGACGCCCGAGGTGCTCCTGGCCTTCGTGGGGACGACTGACGCCCGAGGTGCTCCTGCCCTTCGTGGGGACGACTGACGCCCGAGGTGCTCCTGGCCTTCGCGTGGACGATTGACGCCCGAGGTGCTCCTGGCCTTCGTGGTGACGGCTGACGCCCGAGGTGCTCCTGGCCTTCGTGGTGACGACTGACGCCCGAGGTGCTCCTGGCCTTCGTGGGGACGACTGACGCCCGAGGTGCCCCTGGCCTTCGTGGTGACGACTGACGCCCGAGGTGCCCCTGGCCTTCGTGGTGACGACTGACGCCCGAGGTGCTCCTGCCCTTCGCGTGGACGATTGACGCCCGAGGTGCTCCTGGCCTTCGTGGTGACGGCTGACGCCCGAGGTGCTCCTGGCCTTCGTGGTGACGACTGACGCCCGAGGTGCTCCTGGCCTTCGTGGGGACGACTGACGCCCGAGGTGCTCCTGGCCTTCGTGGTGACAATAGACGCCCGAGGGTGCTCCTGGCCTTCGTGGTGACGACTGACCCCCGAGGTGCTCCTGGCCTTCGTGGTGACGACTGACCTCCGAGGTGCTCCTGCCCTTCGTGGGTGACAATAGACGCCCGAGGTGCTCCTGGCCTTCGTGGTGACGGCTGACGCCCGAGGTGCTCGTGACGCTCCGGGCAAGTGTGTACTTAACCCACGGTTGTCGGATGCGGAGCTCTGCCGGGCCAGTAGGTCTGCCGGCCATGTTTGGTACTCGCCTGGCGTGTTGGCAGCTTTGTACCACTGCCCTCGCGTGGCGGCTGGGCCAAGGTAGGTAGGCAGATTTTGCCGTTCAATCACGGGCTGCTCTGAGGTTAGATACGGACTACGGGTGCTCCGGTGGTCGGCTGCGTCTGGCGGCGGGCCAGACGCGGGGTGCGTGCTGTCGGCCAGTTTTGCAATCGGGAATCGTGGTGCCTCGCTGATCGTCGCCCAACAGTATTGTTAATTTTCTTGTTTTGAGCGCTCCGAGAAACGTGTGCGTGCGAGGTTTTTAAGCCTGCACTGCCTTTTAAGGTTGGCATATGGCCAACCTGTATGTCCCGCTGAAGATACGTTTTTGGTATTACTTTTTGGGAATCAATTTGTATACCTCATTGTATTTTCTGCCCTTTGAAATGTTCAAAGGCGTTCTCTGCACTCCGAAATAGACAACGTTTTGTGACTTCGTTGCGTTCCACTGATCCACTTTTCTGGAATGCGAGTGCTAGAAACGACAGCTGCTGATCAGCGTAGTTGCGGTGATGCTTTCTACGTGACGCTTGTCCCTGGCTAAGCATATATGGGCGCGTTGCTGACGCTTAAGCTCTGGCTTGTGTCGTTACGAGATGATAGTTTCTTTGTTGTTGATAATCCGGTATCGTAACCATCCTACCCATAACACATATTGCAATTTTGTCACATTCGATGACATTCAGCGCAACAGAAAGAGATCGGGCATGGAGAGGAAAAGGACGGAAATGAAAAACTGCTGTAGCGAGACTTGGAATTTTGTAAATTCATTGCACTTCAATGAATTCCAAGTCATCAAAACTTGCCACGCGGCCAGGATAGCAATGCTCGCCACTGGCTAAAGAGTGCAAGCATATCGTTTTCCCCCCTTAAATTTCAGTGGACCCGTCCTGCACATAGGAAACCCACGTGATCAAGAACATTTCATCAATTCACGAGGGCGGCATGCAAAGCGCGTGGAAAAACAGTGGGTGCCCCACGGAAGGCCATACAAGGCCGACATCGACTCAGTTTATCGACAGAAGGCCTTAGATGATTCAGAGGAAGCGCCATTAGGTGCATAAAAATTATCATGGAAAATTGGATGTCTCGCCGGACCAGAGAAGTTTCCGATTAGAAAGAGTAGAGGTCCCATATGTATCTGATGCTGCGATTTTGAAAAAGCGGAAGAAATTCGTGACTTTTCTAGATTTTTAGATGGGAGGATGGAATGGAAAGCTCCAGATTTGCTTAGGTATCTAAATTTGTTTTCCCCTTACCCCTGAGGAAAGTTAACTAGTGCTGTCCGTGCGCTTCACTGCTTTACAATACATACACCAGCTTTTGTTCGCGGTTTTCGTCGTCTTCAGCTGCATCATTGTATTGAGGTCACGGAGTTATGCGTGGGCTTTATCGCTCACGTAACTTGTCCCCATGAGTGTGCGCTGGCCATCTCAGACACTTGGACACGCATTTATGGTGCATTAACTCTGTTGACCACACAATGAATAAATAGTTGGTCGTGGGTCTCTCAGCAGATTTTCTTAGGCTCATGCTGGAACGTACGTTATGATAATTATTTGGGCCGTACGTCTAACGACCTGCCAGGGACATTAAGACATGAGTTGGCAGACAACTACCAATGTGCTGTAACGTGTCCCCGCTGTATTCGCCGAAAGGATTCGTGTTCGCCCCGCCTCCGCCCGCGTCATCCGTGAGTGACCGCACACCTCCGCCCACCTCATCCGTGAGTGACCGCACCTCCGGCCGCGGCATCCGTGAGTGACCGCACCTCCGCCCGCGTCATCCGTGAGTGGCCGGACCTACGGCCGCGTCATCCGTGAGTGACCGCACCTACGGCTGCGGCATCCGTGAGTGACCGCACCTCCGCCCGCGTCATCCGTGAGTGACCGCACCTACGGCCGCGTCATCCGTGAGTGCCGTGAGTGACCACACCTCCGGCTGCGGCATCCGTGAGTGACCACACCTCCGGCCGCGTCATCCGTGAGTGACCGCTCCTCCGGCCACGTCATCCTTGAGTGACCGCACCTCCGACCGCGCTATCCGTGAGTGAATCCATGAGTGACCACACCTCCGCCCGCGTCATCCGTGAGTGACCGCACCTCCGGTCGCGTCATCCGTGAGTGACCGCACCTCCCGCCCGCGGCATCCGTGAGTGACCACACCTCCGGCCACGTCATCCGTGAGTGACCGCTCCTCCGGCCACGTCATCCTTGAGTGACCGCACCTCCGACCGCGTTATCCGTGAGTGAATCCTGTAGTGACCACACCTCCGGCCCGCGTCATCCGTGAGTGACCGCACCTCCGGCCGCGTCATCCGTGAGTGACTGAGGCCGCCCATCCTACGTGCGCTGGAGATAACATTCTCAGATACGACACGAGTTTATTGGCTATAATGTATGGGACCATAACACGAACAAGCGAGTCCGTGCCGAACGCTGGCCACCACTATTCCCTCCGCTCCAAACCGTGACTATGACACTAACTAACCCCCTCCCCCCATCCCACCCTCGTCCCCCCTCAAATTGGTTGCCGCCCCTTGGCCAGAACCTCACCAGAAGTAAGCCAGCAGCGCACGACCAACGGAAACATCCGTCTGATCGCGATGCGCTGCGAGCCGACATGTAACGTTAGGACGGTGTTACAATGTGAGTGCTCCCACATTCCTTATGGATGATAATGAGGTCAATACGCTAGAGTGATTAGGAAGTTATCCGATGACTGATCGGGCGCCGCGTGATCCGAATGACGTCACGTGTCAGCGTCAATGGTGGTGATGTGCCGTCTGCCCGAATCTGCTAGACTCGAACAAGAGCACGTAACGCGCTGGACTAACGAACTAGCGATATCCACCGCAAGTGTCGTTGCTACACATTGACGAACCGGCTCCAACGGCATACATGCTCAGCAGAGCGAGTTAAATACACCAATACACGACACGTGTAGCCGTACGGTGAGTACCTCCAGCTTCAGTACTACCGTCCTTCACACGGCATCACACGATCCGTACCGGGCACCCCGCGTCGCGAGGTCATCCAGCACGGAACAGCCACCCATCCTCCTCTCACGCCACAACACCGACAACACGATCTCTGGTACCTGAACACCACGGATAATAACATCTGAGTGCCGGCGTGTCGCCAGCGGACAGGCAGCCGCGACGCTAGCGCCGCCACGCGGCCGTCCGTCGGCGACCGGCGCCGCCTGGTGGCCGCCTCCTGAACCAGCTGCTCGAAGCGAGGCGGCCGCCGGCCGGCCGACGCGCCCGCGGAACCACACGGTAATGGGCAGGTTCTGGCAGCCGCGGTAGCTCTTGTTGAGCTCGGCGGCCGTCAGCGCCGGCGTGATGTCGCAGGGCGCGCCGAACAGCGTCAGCGCCGGCGGCACCTCCGGGCCGGAGGCGCTCTCCGGGTGCGAGCGGAATACGGCTGACCGCAGCGACTTGCCGAGCGAGGGCGCCGTGGTCAGACGAGGCTGGGCTGGCGCGGCGTCCGCGCGGAACAACACTGACGCGGCCGAAGAAGCCGGTGCAGCCTCCCGGCGCCGTTAGACTGGTGTGCTTGTCGCATACACGAGCAGCAAACACGCAACAATGGCAGATTTAAATCAACTATAAGAGGCACTTGCATAGAAGAATGCATCAGCAGTAACTAGACTTTGAGCTTGGAGCGAGTCATATTTACAGGTCACAAGAGAAACACGTCATAAGGTGCGCTCGAGAGCAAACGTAGCACACAGCCATCCAAGCATTCACCTGACTCATTCAATTCAAATCAGCCAGGCTCTCCCACCGGAACCAAAGGTTCTCGTCCTCCTCCCCAAGTCAGAGCCCACGAAGCGCAGCC